GCACCAGGACAATGTTTCAAGAGGACCTCGCTAGTGACTTGACGCAGAGGTGAACATGAGCAAGCAGCGTACGATCGTGCAATACTGAGCCATACAGCCTCTGTCTACCGTGAAAACATCGCAATCACCGCGATGTACCGGGACAATGTTTCAAGAGGACCTCGCTAGTGACTTGACGCAGAGGTGAACATGAGCAAGCAGCGTACGATCGTGCAATACTGAGCCATACAGCCTCTGTCTACCGTGAAAACATCGCAATCACCGCGATGTACCGGGACAATGTTTCAAGAGGACCTCGCTAGTGACTTGACGCAGAGGTGAACATGAGCAAGCAGCGTACGATCGTGCAATACTGAGCTATACAGCCTCTGTCTACCGTGAAAACATCGCAATCACCGCGATGTACCGGGATAATGTTTCAAGAGGACCTCGCTAGTGACTTGACGCAGAGGTGAACATGAGCAAGCAGCGTACGATCGTGCAATACTGAGCCATACAGCCTCTGTCTACCGTGAAAACATCGCAATCACCGCGATGTACCGGGACAAATATTCCAGCCAACCGATCACTGCCAGTGGAAGAAACTAAACAGTAAAATTTATTACAAATTTAAATTTTTTTCTCAATTGAATCAAAACAGGGTTATTATTGTCTTTGCAAGTGAGAAGTAATTGTCTCATCTCGATAAAACAAGATAAACAATGTGGATTTTCAGCAAGGAAAAAACTTACTTGATGTGATGAAAATGTCAGTTTCTTGGTTGTAAGCCTTTAAAAACATTATGTATTTGGTCCCCTACAGCTACAGTATTTAAAACTAAATCTCAACCGGTCCAAAATAAGGGGCCTGTTATAAACGCTATTACATCACCCGATGTGATATCAATCATTTAATCTTTGATCAATGTATTGATACATTATAAACTAACGATAACTATTATTTGAAAGAATGGATGATCTATCAACTTGTAATAATTAATATGAGAGTTCATATAATATCTAGACACACTTTAAGTCAGTTATAGACGCTAAGAGTGCGTAAAACTCAGTAATTAAAACACCCATTACCTCAATTCTCCAACATTTTAATCTTCACGCTTTTTAAAACGCACGATGGGGGAGAGGGGCAGCAAAGGTAAAAGCATAGCTCGAGGTCCGTCCCTCAGCAAAGATCGGATTGCACCTTTATTCACCAACGTCCAGTTTAATTAATATGTTCATTAAAAGCGGCGGCGAGCTGCTCTTTGTCGGGCATTGCCAAACAAAGGAGGGATGGAACCCTTAACTCACGGGTCAAACATATCTTGGCCTAATGGCAGCCATTATAACGACGATCATCCCACACTCCCAGCTTTAACGATGTTTCTGGAACACTCACTTCCTTACACGCTCAAGCTGTATTGCAATGTGTATTCAATGGTCTTGGAGTGGTCTTGAAGCGAGTCAATGAGCTATTAAAAACAACTGCCATTAAAAATACAATGATCTCCAATTTCATCATAATAATGTATATGGTATATGTATATGGTATATCTACTGTATATAATATATGTATATGACTTTGACTACTTCAATAGTTTGTTTTTAATTTACTTTTTAGATGTAGCTATTTTTTGTATTTGAAACTTCAGGGTGAAACAAGTCAACCTCGAGCCCATTGTTACAAAATTAGGAGTTCACAAACTAGTATGTACTTCATATTTTAAATACTTTCTAGGATTGTTCGTGGTATTCGAACTGGCAAAAACCGATTCAAAAAGATGATTTTAATAAAACATAAGTCAGGAAATCCTTATCTAAATAAGTAGAGTTTCCATGAAGTTTTCCATTCTTAATATAAACCCTGCTATTTTTTATTCGAATTTCGGACTCACAGATATTTTTATGTTGATCGAATAATTTATCTATTGTAACCTTTGTCTCGTATTTAATAGCAAGCCTATATATATTCCCAGACAATTTTATGTACAGACTAATTCGATCTCTTGCATGCTGTAGTATGTTAGTTTTTTTATTTTTATTTTTTTTATTTAAGGCAGAGCAAATTTTTCAGAAAACCTGTTTTTTTACCAAATCCTGATTCACAACAAAATAGTACCTAGATATGTTTTGATAAAAACCAAATGTTACAGTATATAATTATTTTTATTGATTGCGAGTGTATTCTAGTTACCATGTTGTATAAACAATACTAGAGGTAGTCCAGTGGTCGAAAACTCGACAAAAATATGTAATGTAGAGACTTATCTATTTTCACCCCACGCTGTACATAAAACACGTGATAGGGATTTCTTTTGAAAGTGTCTTGAAAAAAGCATTTTGTATCAAGGGCTGTAAAACAATTTTGCCTATGTGGCAACATGATGTGAATGCCGTCGTATCACGTTGTGTGGCTTTGGACCAGAAGTGTTTCCCGTAGCAAAATCTGCATTCTAAGTAGTTCATAAAAGTCTGAGCCACAAAGGCACTTCTCTTAGGCACATTTAAAACTATCCATCAAATTCGGTATAATAACTGCATCATGTTGATTAACTCTCATAGTCCTATTATAGAGACGGTTTCTTCTTTCTACCCGGCCAGTTAATGTTCGCCGTAGAGGTATTTCAGAATGATGCTTGGAAGTCATTCTAGTTTATAATATCAAATAATACGGCAAATTTATCCAAATTTACTTTTATTTATTATATCCAAAGTTTTAATTGTAGAAAAAGTTATTATTTAACCAAGCTAACCATGACATGAAGGTTTTATCTTCAGTATTTACACTACAATATACCACTATGCATCGTCCACACAACTTACAAAGTACGATGAAGTCTATTCAAAGACCTACCACTGTCCCTTAAATTTAAAATGTATTAATGAGGTAAATCTCTGAAGTCAAAAAGCTTTGCCTTGGTGAATACATTTACTACTGGTTTTATTAAAAGCGTTCACCGCAAAGATTAGCCTGGAGATCTGTGTGGACTTCGCTGGAACTGCAAAAATTACACGGGTACTTTGTTTAATTTTGTAAAAACCTCATCCCTCTAAATTCCCTCGACTTTTTAATTCCGCCTGAGCCATCAAAGTGTCCAAAGTCGCCTACAAAGAGCTACTTAATTCTACAACTGGACATTTCATTCGGTTGCGTCTCTTCTTGCTTTTTCATTTCCACCAGTTCCATTAATTCATTACTGGCAATAAATCTCGTTGGCCTTTTCTTTGTTATAGTTTACTTTGTCCACTGTGTGATATTGTGTACAAGAGGGGAACTAATATGAACAACACTGAAAAACTTTCGACCTGTATGTTGGAATTGGTTGGAATACACTCTTGTAGAAACAATCGATTCAGATTCAATCTACTTCAAGCGCTACAAAATAGGCAAATAAAATAACTACGATTAAGATACGTTGATCCGTTAGTGTTATAACGTGAACTACTGGTACTGATGTTAAAAAGGCACACTCTTGTTAAAAAACGTTTTTATGAATATGGAGTTAGCTGTTACAGTTCTTTAACGTGTCATTTATAATACGTGAACGCCAACTTTAGATTTGTGGCCGTGACTGAATGGGCTAACTAACCCTTTCCCTTTAGTATTTTGACCGCTGCAGTTCCCAGTTGTTTGCTCTATTGAGACGTTGCAGTTGTTTGTTGAGCTGCAGCTGCTTTGGATTATTGTACAGTATTGGCGATCTCCTGTGTCTCTGTAGCGGGGATTAGGGTGGTGCAAAGTGTATTTGTTCTAAAATGGTAATTTTAAACATCAATACATAGTTTAATTAATTAACATCTTCAGATGGGGTATATAGCGTATTTTGCCCGAACTAATCTTAAATGTTAATATTATGTTTACTAGCTTTGTAACTCTGAATGTTTTATAAAAACTTCGTCTAGAATTTATTATGAAATAAAAGCCGTGTGTATCAATTCCACTTTTGATATTTCAGGTTAACAATGGAAAGTTCAATATGAGAGTCGAATCTAGGCTTAGTATCTTTTTTCATTATCATTGGTCATTTTATGTTTGGGAAACGGTGAAATAGAGATTTTTATTTTATAATAACAATCAATAAACCTATTAAGGTCATATCTTATTTAGCTATTTAACTATTTAGCGGAGATTTAATTTAGAACCTTAAGCAAATACTTTTACACTTATTGTTAAAATGTATTGCTGAATTTATAACTACTTAGTATTTGGAAATGAATTAAGAAAGTTATACCACTTAAAATAGAAATAATCAAAAGAGTTATTTTGGTATAAATGTTGTGTTGCCAGATAATTGAACACAATTTTAAGTGACAGTATGGTCGTACATGGAACATACAGACCGACTACCGAGCCAGTGTGGTGTGTCGTGTTGTGGGTGTGTTGTGTGTCTGACGGCGACGGCTGGACGACTGACGACTGTGCACTGTGCAGTAGGAGCGACGGAGAGCGCTATCGATTCTCACCAACCCCGACGATCAAATTATGAGCTGCACCAATGAGAGCACAGCTACCCCTCCCCCCGCACTCCAACTGGGGAGGTGCGATGAGCGGCGCGAGGGAAATTGGACCTTACACCCCCTGAAATAAGGCCTAGTTCTGCGCACCACCATGTCGATCATAAATAGGGGTAGAGTTTTATTAGACCGATAAAACAGGGGTTATAGCGATGAAGGGGAGGAATTTTTATGTCGGACTTAACACCGGCGCGGCGCAGGAAACTCGTCCGAACGTGGGGCGAAATAAGGCTCTTTTTCGTCCGAAAGGCTTCGATAGCTTCACGTGTATCGCCGAGAAACGACACGAATGATATGTCGCATCGTTCAAACTAAAATCACCCTTACATCAGCCCGGATTAGGTCGAGATTCGCTCGCCGGGAGGGACGGAGGGGATACCTACGGTGTCTCGATTTCACACCGTTGACACTTCCGTTTCGGGGTTTTCGACGTGCGGGGGTTTCTAAAATTATGTTATTTTCTAGGGTAACATCGCCGAGGGGAGGTTTGTAATTCTCCGACTCGAAAGGGGGTTGTTCCGATTTTACGGTGGCTACCGACGACAGCGACAAAGAACTTCTAACCCCACCCCGAAATGGATATTCGCGGCTAGGGAGGGAGGGGCGTCAATTTGTGTTATACACATCTAGAAGTTGTTCAGTTTAACTTAACACTTTGGCCGGCGAACACAGACTAGCGATCCACTTGTGATAAGTGACAGTGATAGTAATAGTTTTAATCTTTTTTTATTTAATTCTTTATAACGTTGTGGACATTATTTATAATATTTTAATGTTTTAAAAAGTACATCAATTTAACGAAACTCTACTAGTACCAGTGACTGGTGATGCGACTATGAGTTCCTCGCCACAGATAGATGTGTGCTCATCCCCGGAGCGGCCGTCGTCGCCTCTGCGCTGCTGCCCCTCCAAGACCTCGGACCGTCACTCTCCCAAGGTCGCCGACTCCAAGGGCTCCGGGCCGGGGTTCACGTCGTTCAGCATCAGTAGTATCTTGTCTCGTGGTGACGACCGGGACCGACGAGACCGCGACTCTCTGGACGTCGCTCACCTCGCTGCCGCAGCGGCGCTCCATCCCTGCCACTCAGACCCCGCCATGCTGTCCAGGTCAGTGAACCGTCCTGCCAGTTTAAATATCGTTAGTACGGTACATACTTTTAAAATATGTTTACGATGCCAAAGTAACATCTAGTAGATTCCATACGATTATAAACGATAAGATTAAAATGTATTGGAATTGCTATTGGATATGTACATCCAAAGTAAAAATATTCTGGTATACATAAAATCAAGAAACTTTATAAACCTAAGTAACATCCATATAACATATCCATTTTATTAGTCCCAGATTGTGATAACCAAAAAGTTTAACTATAGGTTGTATTTATTGCTTAACAAAAAAACCTATTGAATTAACTTTTAAGATAATACATTACGATATCTGTTACTAAACAATTAGGTACCGGTACACATAAATACTTATAGCTACTACAAATTGTAGACCTAAATTTAAGAATTCCAAGCTATAAATAGTCTACGTAATTGGAGGTATTTTAGTTGTTGTCAGTATAACGAGGCTCCTTACACAGAACACTCATTTAAAATTACCCTCCCATGCAATATAACCAATATGGTAAAGCTTGGTTCCTATGTGAAGATTTTAATTCTTAGAATTCATTTCCCACTACTACTGCTGGGTTTACCGTTTCCCTTCTGGCGTTGCTATTCGCTGCTAATTTGCGACGCGTCAATACAGTAACATCTTTAGGTATCCACAATAGCCTCGTCTTGAATGAATTTAACACAAAACTGTCATTACACAACATTTAAATGAAAAAATAAATTTGACAAATAACCAATATCGTCGTCGCGGAGCCACATGTCACACGAGTCAATCTGGGTGACGACTACCAATTGAGTGACCAAAACCAACTCACGCTAATATCTGACTATCATACGGGTGTTACATTTTATTATTTGGTTATTTTAGTTATAAATAATATAGATTATAAAACACAATGCAGATTATCTTAATTTTAGCTTTTGGAGAAAGTTTTTTTCATTATGTGTCGAATGTGTGATTTGCTCAAAATTATTTGACACTTATATATATATTTAAACGAATTGTTTTTTCGACATATAGGAACATCAAAATGAATAAGTAAATCGGTCCCGAGTCAAAATCTTTCAGTGCCAATTACGGTAATAGATTCTTCCTTATGGGGAAATCCGCTGAACCCTTAATATATGCATTTTATTATATTGTTATGTAAAAAAACAACTGCACTTATAAGATAATCTAAAATACCGTGGATTAAACATAATCCCCTGCAAAGCTAGAACCCTTATATTTGACCCTCCTATTACATTACTCATGCCATCCTTGTCAACTGACCACAGTGAAGTCATTTTTCTTTCTGGTATAGACCCATGTTTGCGATTTCAAGTGTGATATTTATTCTTGTTTTACCAGCTTTAAAACTGATTAAAGCAAAGTACCTATTAACTTATAAATTACTGCTATATCGTAATCGAAGAATAAAATGAGCAGAGTAAAACCTAACAGCAAAAAAAAAAAAAAAAAATTAGTCGGCAACAGCTAGTTGCGTGTAAAACATAACCCGGTATCAATCACAGATCAACACAGGCGTGAGACTTAACAATAGGATGAGAGGCTACTGGAGATATACAAAGACAATGTTGATCAAGGTAATTATTGCATGCAGGTTTTTTCGCTTTCTGCTAACGATCGATGATTATCAATAAGTATTATGCCTGACGACACGGAGCGAGTTTGCTAAACCACTACATTGTAGCTGAGGTAATACACAAGACCGCGACAGAGGTGATTCCACAGCTGTTATTATACGTAAACACCGTAGTTGTCAGCTGATAACGAGTTCCACGAGAGTTTCCTCCTCGGCGAGGCCTCGGTTCTGTACAGCTATTCGATGTTCGACTTCATAATTAATTACCAAATAGTGAACTACGGATTAATTTTAGTATAAAACATTTACTTTCATGGTTGACATTGTGGAAGGTATTTTCTTTACTTATTTATTTTAGATTAAAATATTATATATACGGTACATCATAATGTAGATCAGTAGATTAAACTTCGTATTCTATATGTGAGTCATACAGTGTAACGTTATATAGGAGAAAAAGTGGGTCTGGAGTAAGTGCGTTGATAAAAAAAACTCAAATGATTTCAATACTTTGAACACATTTGGAATACATTTTGAATTATATTTAAAAAGGAAATTAGTTCATTGATAGATATAGGCTAATATTAGCTAACGTAAGCTATACATTGTGTTAAAACATTTTATTTAGGCGAAGATATTTGATCTTAATGAGTAGGGTCTATATTTTAAAATTGTCTTTATAGTAGTACTAGAGGAGAAACCAAAAGTATACAAATTTAAAATTATAATCATCATAATTAATGTGATAGCCTAAATACCTGAAACATTACCAAAAACTTTTGCTCCAAGCATTTTACCCGTAAAAATTAAAATGAAAAAAAATGTGTTATTAGCAAAGTATTAAATCAAAACTAAGTATACGTGACTTACAGTAAGGATGATTGTAAACTCTTCTTTAAGTAAATCAAATAAAAAAATAATATATTAATGTCTTCAAGTGAAAATCTACGAAATAATTCTCAACATCTACACGATGCCGCTGCCGCTGTGAACATTTCAGAATCCGTTCAAATTCTTTTTTGTAATTTAAAAATGTATTTGTCACGAAGTTTCAACTATGTACCTCTATTTAAAAAAGAATACCTAATCTCCTACTCAACTTGAATTGAAAGAGTATACGCGAACTTGTAAAACAGCTTTCCCAAATATGCCTGAAGCTTAAGTTGTTACACATAAGGTGTATGCTCTAAAACGAAACAGAAAGTATTAATTGAATTTGGAAATAATGAGGGTTCCAAACTAATCACAACCTGTAAATACAGATTTTGTTTATATTTTTTTATTAAAATGGTCAATCAAATTAATATTAATTTATGCAGTAACTTTATAAATAAATAAAAATAATAATTTTTTACATACCCTATACGTAAAAGGCCCATATAGTCATATCACAATATTCATGACAGTGATGGCTGTTACTGTAGCCTATAATCAAAGAATCAAAATCAAATCAAAACGCTTATCTATATAGATGCTAAACATAAAAATACAGTTAATTGTTTGGATAACTCTTTGACATTTCCTCTACCAATGCAGAAACAATCCTCCTCGGCTAAGTCGTCTATCTTTTACTTGAAAGGAAGACCTTGTGCTTGCTGAGTTACAACATTATACATAATACAATACATAGCATAATACACAGGTAAAGAAAACATGCTCGGCGGGATTGACTTGGGGCCTCTATAATAACATTAGCCGCAACGCTAACATGTTCCTAAGGATATATAGATAGGTTAGTAATAACATAATTTTATACTTTTTGAGTGACGTGTACAGTGCTAAAATTACCATTTTTATAAGTACAATACCCCTTTCTTAAATTACTTTTCTACGGACTTAGTTACGTTACTTGAAACGTTTTATCCAGATTTCCTTCAAATCGGAAATTGTATACTAGCGTTATATGAACATATCCCATACTATAAATGAACTAACGGGAATTTTACGTATTGGATTGCCTAAATTGTAAGTATGTTGGTCGCGGGACCAGGTAAAAGAACCCTTATGGAAATTCCGTTTGGAACCCAGTTTCATACACCTGTAAAGAGTCAAACTACTCTTTATTAACATTATACTCTTTATTATACATTAAGTGGGCATTTTAACAGTTCAATTAATATAACAAATCTGTTCACTTTTTTATAAAACAAACTGATATTTGCACGGACAAGGTTACGAAACTATCTTCGTAAGTAGAGTATTTTTCTCAATCTTACTATTTTTTCTACTTAAATCATAATCTTAAATAAATAATTTTCTTATTTTTACTTTTTTTTATGATGTGATACCCATAACTAAACTGTAAAAAGTAAATTAGTATTAGTTTTGAATACATGGAGATGAATTCCCTAATTCTTAGTCTTAAGTAAAAGTTTCTATCAAAATACTTCACACAGTGAGTTTAGAAACTAATGAAAAAGTCGCATCCAAGCCTAATACATCTTAAAAATATATATTGTATATTGATAAACACAACGCATGGAATCTCCCGCGTTTAGGCTCTTTAGTACCATAACTATTTCTCCCAAATAAGTACTGTGTAGAATTAACACGTTAAATTCCCAGGATTAAGTTATGTCCATCTAATAAAAGGCATTTGAGCATTAATACGTCATAATGGTATTTGATGATCCGATTATCCGCTGGAGCTAGCAGCTAGGCCCTGTAGATGTACTACATAGAGTAACAACCGGCTAGCTGTGTACAGTACACAGAGTACACGGCGAGAGCGATGAACAATGTAAGCGCCATAGAGTATAATAGTGGCTGAACGCGCACTTAGGCCTTGTTAATGGAACAGGCATCACCAATAGATTAGCCATGAAGTAATCAACACACAAACTCCATTACCCGCTACTGCATGCCAGGATTATCTATTACTGGGAATCTGATCTCTTATTGGATAAATGCACCACGATTATAATACTAGAGCTTGGCGCTAAAGTGCTTCACAAGGAAACACTTTGGACGTTTTGAAAAGGATTTATACAAAATAATTTTACAAGAACGATTGTTTTTAAATCTGTTTTTCCGTAACTTATACACTAAATCAGTTTTATGGATGAGTTTAAATTCACACTTAAGTGGAAAAATAGACTGATACCATTTACTAAATCGTGTTAAATGAGTGCGATGAGTTTACATGAAATAAAATAAATATTTTGGGTAGATTCAATGATTATACAGTAGAACCTCGACAACAAGACTCTCATGGGGATTATTAAACTAGACTTGTTATCAAGGAGGACTTCTTATTGAGGTTTGTAATTAACATGTAATTAGGGGTAAAATAGGGGATTTGGAAATTTCACTTTTTATCAAGGGTGACTTGATATCGAGGGTTTTCTTATCAAGGTTATACTGTATTTAATAAAGTGCTTGAATCCAAAAAACGATTAT